ATAAAATACTTAAAAGAAATAGCAGAGCCATGCTCTGAAACGCAAGATTCAGGCATTCGTTGGCGGAATACTTTAAGGTATGGCAAAAAAATTTTCTGGACAATAAAGATTTGAATAAGTCTGTATTCGATAACTTCATTGCAACATGTGAGGTGTGCCAAATTGCTAAAATTTAAAGATTGCCTTTTAACACTAGAAGAGAGAGGGCATCGAAACCACTTGAAATAATTTACGACGACATAATGGGACCGATTAGTCCGGCAACTTATCCTGAGAGATACAAATTTATGATAGTATACACAGACGACTACTTGAGATTGACAATGGCATACCCTGTGAAAGTAAAAATTGTACCAAGAAGTTGTGGGGACAAATTTGCAACCAGCGTACGAAATCTACTGGGCTTTGATACAAAAATGTGCTATTAAAGAACTGACCAAGGCACACAGTTTACAGAAGGCCGAACAGTGAAAGTTTTCTAGAGATTGAGAGCTGAGTCTCAACTGGCTTGTCCAGACACTCTTCAACACAATGGCGTTCCAGAACGAATCAATCGCATATTGCAGGATAAAGTGCGAACCTACATATATGACTTCAGGTTTGGGGAGAATATATTGGATCTAACCTTTGGTGCTGTAGTTTGTACATATAATCATACACCATACCTGTCCAACAAAGTAACAATTCCCATTGGAAAGCTTACCCCCAATCTAAAGATAGATTTATATCAAATAAGATTTAGTTACATGGCAAATTTCATGAGATTCCGGATGTAAGATTTCATGAAAGACTTTTATTTAGAAATATCCAGAGAAAAGACAAAATAGCAAACGGAAATAATTATAAGATAGATATTTAACAAGATAAATGGTTCATTAAGTTTGGTAAAGATAGTCTTGAAGTATTATTAGAAACGGAGGGAGAACAAGGAGTTAAGAGAAAACGAGTACGACCGAAGAAGAATAAAGAGCTTGTTCAAGAAAACTTTAGAGCAATTAACGAAGAATTGGAATCAATACATAAAAGCCAATTATGAAAAATTGTAGATAGAGCAACTATGAGTGTTGAAGGAAGTAAGCCGAACATCATAGGTTCCAGATGAGTCCTGAAAAAGAAGATAGACAAAGATGGAAAATACGAAGTTTAAAACGAGGTTTGTAATTCGTGTATTTAGAGATAGAAATAAATACGACTTGTAAAAGACTTAGGCTCCTGTATCTGGGTTGGGTTTTGTAAGATTGGTAATATAAATTATTAATAAATTTAGTCTGGAAACTTGTCAACTGGATATCAAGACATCCCTCTTGAATGTTTCAATCAAGGAAGACATATATATATATATATATAGACTCCTGAAGGTCTGCTTCATGAGGATAAACTTAAGGAAAATAAAGTATGTTACTTAGAAAAAGCTCTTTATGGACTCGAGATCAGCTCCAAGAGATGGAACGAGTGTTTTTGTACGGCTGCACTAAAACTAGGGCTACAATCATATACCAGTGAACCTTGACTGTACGCATGGAGAGAAAAAGATAACTTTTTGATCTTGATTCTATATGTAGATGATATTATGACAGCAAGTAATTGTGTAAATAAATTAAAGAAATTAAGATTGGTCTGCAGTCTGAATTTGAGATGTCAGATCTTGGTGAGATTGGCACTTTCCTAGGTATCACAGTAGAAAGAGATAATAAATGTGGAACAACTGCACCTACACAGACACCATGCATTGACAAAATGCTGGAAAGATTTGGATTTAACGAGTCAAAATTCCAAAGGACACCAATGATGACAAATCAAGTTTTAAATTAACAAAAAAAAATAGAAAAGAGTCTGAAGATGCTGGAGAGTTAGATCAAACAAAAACAAGGGAAAATGTGCCATGCAGAGAGGCACTTGGTAGCTTACTGTATTTGGACAGTATAATTGGACCAGACATCTTCTACTCAGTGAATGTGCTGAATAGACATCAAATCTGCCCAACTTAAGATGATTGGAAAATAGTCAAGCGGGTATTTCAGTATCTGCAATATACCAGGACTCTAGGATTAACTTATAGAGGCTACAAAGATGGATTGGAAGCCTGCTCAGATGCAAGTTTGGCAGACTGTAAAAGGCTAAATTACAACGGGTGGATATCTCCTCAGGTTCTATGGGGATACGGTTGTTTGGAAAACAAGAAAACAGAATTACGTAGCTATCTCAACGTGTGAAGCTAAATATGTGGCAATGTGTGATGCAAGTCAAGAGTTGATTGGACTGGAGGAATTTATAAGTTCTCTCTATAAAGTCACCCTATAAGTTATTAATAATACCTCGCACTTTATTGCCCATGGATCTGTGGTGCAATAATAAAGCCGCTAGAGTAAGTGCCAAGATAGATGGTGGTAGACGATTAAGACACATGACTGAAATCATATCTCATTATGTTGAAGAATGTGTAACCAAAGGGAAAATAACTCTTGAATGGATTCCATCCAAGGAGCAACTGGGGGATATTAACAGAAAATCTCTGCCATTTGAATTTCATGAAAAACTAACTAAAGAAATTCTGAATATAAATAAGTAATGAATTGCATGATAGTAAAATTTGAAAGATAAGATAGTAAAGTTAATAAATTGACATGAGATAGATAATGACAGTAGTTATGTAAATTGACGTTTCACTTTATATGTTTTAAATCGTAGCAACCAATCGAATGAGTGATCCAGAAGCTAACATGATATCCATCTTCAGATTTTTAGCGTTTCAGTATTTGGCACTCGTAACTTAATTTCAGCGCATGCGTAGTAGCAAGGAGTTGAGACGCTGCGACGCTGCAGTGCAGCATTAAAAACTTATAGCTTGATTTATTCCTGTGCTGTCAGTCAGTTGATACGCACTCTCTGCTTTCATATTTCCTTATTTGATTAGATCTTGCTTTATTTAAGTTCAGCTTACGATTGTATTTTTGATTGTAAAGACTAAAGATAGCGTACACTTAAGATAGTTAGAATAAACGTGTCCGTATTTAACAATAAGAGTGATAGTGTCAAACATTTTATTTCCCGATCACATACCCATACATCTATACTGCCAACACTAAGCTGTTTTGAACAAGAGTATTATTATTTTGTTATAAAATCATTATTAACTTTTAATTTAAAAATACCCTTTAGAGTTATACATTAAAATCGTTTTAAATATTTATTAACAAAAAGACCACTCTCAATTGATCAGCACAAACCTCTCTGAACGTTGATTTTTTGTCTTTTGATGTTAAAAATTCTCAGTCAAACAGCTACATATTTATGTAAGTTTAATGTACAATTTAAATTTTAGTTGTAAAATGTTAATTTCAGAAAAAAATTTTTTTTAGCGTAGTGTAAGTACGGAAGTATAGGCGAGACTCTACGCTCCCTCTCCTTAAATCTCAAAACAAGGGCCCCTAGGGCCAAGAGACGGAAAGAGCTAGCAAGGAAAGGGTCTTTTGAGGGAGTACACGACGAGCCTTGAAAGGAAACACACGTGCGACTTTGTCGTATAAGTGTGGTATCGTGAATAAAGGTATTTGAGGTAATGAGTGTTAGTCATTTTTGCGACGCACGTCCTTACCAGTCTCTTTCACACGTAACAGATTCAGTGCTAGGTGTGAGGTACAGTAAGAGTCGAAATTTTTTTTCTTTTATTTTAATCGTTTCAAAAAATTTTGCCAAGAAGCACACATAGTGTAGTGCCGTAAAAATACGACGATTAAAAATTTAGAAGACGAGGATCCGATTAAAGATAACAGTACCAGTCGTAGTCAACAAGCAGCGGTAACAAAAGCCCAGGAGCCAACAGGACTAGGATACCAATTGCAGATTATCACAGTATCAAGCAAAGAAACAACGAGTGCTGAAGAGGAATGATCTCTAAAAATTTGATTCCTACTCTCTTACAAACATTATTTCGTTCGCTCCTCCTTTCAGTGTGTTTTTTTCTTGAAACCCAAAACAAAAATTACGTGATATAACAGACTCAAAATGCATTGGATAAGTAAAATTTTTGTTGGAAAAACGATTCACGTAACAAAAAAATTCTAGAATCGCGAGAAAAATAAGTCATAACGCAAAAATTCAAGGAGTTGGTCAAAGGCAGAAAACAGCAGGACCTTAGGGGAAATAGAACAGCGTCTCAATATACAGAATAAGTGTCATAAATCGGCTTGAGCGCTGGAAGCAGGGAGACTCTCTCGACCATTTGTTCTCTCTTAGCTACAGCAGATAGGTAAAAGGGACGAGATATCAAGACCTAAGCATAACATATAGCATAGCGAGGGTTGGTAAAAGGAACCCTAAGCATTATCTTCTCCGATACAGTAAACCCACGTGCTTACACTATATATATACTGACTCGGGGCAAGCTGAATTTTTCAAACGAAACCCGAGTTTGTAGTGTGAGTAAAACAAAGACATTTGATAATACTCAAGCTACACACACAGCAAACATACCACTCTCCAGGGGTACTAACTATAACATTACAAATAGTGGGGATAGGTAATATAGTTCACAGAAGAGAATAAATAAAAACAAGACAACAACCACTTGTAGTGTATTTATAAGCCCGAGTTAAGGGTATAAATAAAAGTATAACACACGCGTCTATATAGATATATGAAATGTCTTTTATTTCTTACAGTACAAGAAGCGGAGAAGGTACAGCATGACTACTGGCTTAGTCCAATGCTGTACGTCGACTAACTATATAATTGATACTTACTACCGTGAGTCACGTATGCACGTTTGATCGCCCGCTTCTATGCACAAATAGCAGCATTACCCTTACGCTATATTAATTTTTATTAATACCATATACAACAATCCTCCCCCTTTTTTTTTATTATAAGTTTAGCCTGTCCCTTGCCTTAGAATATCATATGTCACGTTACCTGTTATATCTACAATATACGCCTTTTTCCAACAGCCATTCCGAAAATCTTTTGCCATCACCGTTTCGTTTACATCAAAGTCGATTTTTCTATTGCCATGATGGTTTCTTTTTTTGCGCCTCTTGGCTTTTATTGACTACGGCTGCCGTGTTTAATTTTAGTAGGTCAAATCGCGTGAAAAATTTTCGCCCCATCTGCAATTCTGCAGGTGTGACCCCGGTAGTAACGTGTGGCGTAGATCTGTACTGAAATAAATATTTTGCAAGTGCATCTTTGCGATTCAATTTTTCCAACAAAAGTATTTTGAACTTGTTTTTGAACGTTTTTACAGCATTTTCCGCAGCACCATTACTAGCGGGGTGATACGGGGGTACCAGGTGGTGATCTATATTATTATTTCGCGTAAATTTACGAAACTCCTGAGAGATAAACGCAGGTCCATTATCTGTTACAATTTTAATGGGAAGGCCCCATGTAGCGAAATATAATTTAAACGCATCGATTGTAGATTTAGCCGATATATCGCGCATTTCTTGTACATCCACCCATTTTGAGTGTGCGTCCGTGATTATAAAATCCATTCGACCTCCAATGGGCCCAAGGAAATCCGCGTGTAAACGTTTATTTGGAGCATCCGGCCAGTCCCATACATGTAATTCTGATCTAGGAGGGTATGGACCATGCGTCGAACATAACTCACATTGTTTTGTTATTTTTTCAATCTCCTCGTCTATTCTGGGCCACCAAATATACGAACATGCAAGCGCCTTCATTTTAACGACGCCCATATGACCGCTATGTAGCTCTTTTAGAAAAATAGGTTGTAGAGATTTTGGTACAATTAATCGGTGTCCCCATAGGATACACCCATTTTCTAGCGCTAATTCGGATGCTCTACGCTTATATGGCTTTAAATCTTTCTCTATGACTTCCGGCCATCCGTACTTGACATGTTTACGTACTTGAGTCAGTACCCCGCAATTTGCGGTCTCTAGCACTAATTTACTAGGTGATATAAAATCTACAGATTCGCTTACATACTTCAAGTACGAATAGTCGTCGGTATTGATCCCATCACTTTCCGCACCCAATGGAAGTCTAGATAGACAGTCCGCATGGCCATTATCTTTCCCTTTAATATAGACAATTTCAAATGTATACCCTGATAAAAAAATAGCTTACCTCTGTAGGCGACTAGCAGACATCTGTGGCAACCCTTTTTTATCGCCAAATATAAAAACCAGCGGTTTATGGTCAGTTTCGAGTGTGAATTTCAGTCCAAAAATGTACTGATGAAATTTCTTTACCGAAAATATAATGGCCAATGCTTCTCTGTCTATCTGGGCCTAGTTCTGTTCCGCTTTAGTTAGTGTTCGCGATGCGAATGCAATGGGTTTTTCCAATTTATCAGCAAATACGTGCAATGAAACCGCACCGATACCTTTTGGCGACGCGTCACAAGTGACTTTCATAGGTACGTTCAGATCAAAATGAGTTAAAACTTCGGATGAAGTAAGGCTCGTTTTAGCCTGGTTAAACGCTTTTTCATGAAACTCCCCCCACCCCCATTTTGAGTCTTTTTGTAAAAGTTTATACAGAGGTGAAACAGTCATCGCATAATTACGGATAAATTTCGAATAATAATTCATAATTCCCAAAAATTCCTGAAGTTGCTTCACGGTTCACGGTCGTGGCATTTTCAACAGCGCCTCGATTTTCCTATCCAATACCCGGATTCCCCTTGCATCAACTCCATAGCCCACAAACTCTATGTCTGACTTACTAATTAAACACTTGCCTATTTTTAAGGTTAATCCAGCCTGTTTAATTCTCTGTAAGACTTCGGTTAGTCTGGCATCATGCTCTGCCTGATTTCTACCCCCCACGCGAATATCGTCAAAAAATATCGTTACCCCTGGGATATCTTTTAATAAGTTTTCCATTTCGCGTTGAAACTAGCCAGGTGCGGACGCAACGCCGTAAGGCAGGCGTGAAAATTTAAATAATCCCCTATGGGTGGTTATTGTTGTATAAGCCTGCGATGACTCTTCAATCTCGATTTGCGAATATGCTCTCGTTAAATCTAATTTTGACTGTACTACGTGCCCGTGCATTGTAGCAACAAATCTTGAATCCGCGGGATAGGGTGTTTATCGATTTTAAGAAAAGGGTTGAGTGTCACCTTTAAATCTCCGCAGATTCTGATTTGCCCATTTGGTTTAAGGCTTGGGAGAATGGGTGTTGCCCATTCACTACTTTCAACCGGAATTAACGTTCCTTCCTTAACCAAACGTTCAATTTCGTTTTCATCTTTAGCCTTTAACGCGTACGCTATAGGTCTAGGTTTTCTACAAACTGGCTTTACATTATTTTTCAATTCGAATTTAAATTTTTTAACGTTATACAATCCAAGTTTGTCTGTAAATACTTTTGAAAATTTTCTTTTTAATGACGATTCATTAATTGTTTTAATAAAAACTTCCCCTGTTCGCGGGTCTTCTTTGAGTATACCTAATCTCCATAGCCATTCTAGACCAATTATAGGCAAACTTTTACCCGGTAACACGAATAAATCCAAATTAAGTGAATTTCCTTTGTGGTTGACTAAAGCATTAAAATACCCCAACGGTATCATTTCCGGTCCCGTATACGAATTAAAACATCGTAACGTGATTTTAAGATCAACTGTTCCTTTAAATTTTTCAACCAAAAATTTTTCCGATATAGCTGAAATGCACGCCCCGGTATCAACTTCAAAACGTATCTTTTGACCGTGAACTTTTAGTTCAATAAACAATTTTTTAATCACGTCGTCATTACTAAACAAAACAAATAAATTATCGTCCGAACTTTCAGTCTCAGTCTCGACCGATTCTTCGTAGGCAAAATTCGTTTTTGCCCTGTTTTTCGTATTTACTTTCTCGCTCGTTAACTTACTTTTGGTATGACTCGATACATTACACGCTCTCGCTATATGTCCCTTTTGTTTACACGTTTGACACATTAATTCGCTGAACTTACTTTGTTCTGCTATATGGTTAGTATATCCGCGATGTATACACGGCTTCTTCCTGGAATCCACGGCTTTCTTTTTCGCCTGTTGCTTACGTCCCTTGACAAAATGGATGCTATTTACTCCCTCTGCTAATTCAGCTGTGTCGCGCGCCGCCATCTTGTTTGCCAGCGCCTTCTTGACCGCAACCTCAAAAGTAAGAGAGTCTTCCTCAAGTAGCATCTTCTTGATTGACTCGCACCGGATTCCGCTTAAAAATTGGTCTCGAAGATGGTAATTCAAGTTATCTCCAAACTTGCAGTGCGTGGCCACCTTTTTTAGGTTAGCACAAAACTCACTCACGGATTCACCCTCGCCTTGAAAACATCGGTAAAATTTGAACCGCTCTGGTATTTCACTAGGCTCCGGCTGAGTATGTTTTTTCATCAACTCCGTGAGTTCCTTGAACGTTTTAGTGCTCGGCTTATCCGGCACACACAGGTTCCTTAAACGCACGTAGCCCTGTTCTCCCAACAAGGTCAAAAAGGTCAGTACTTTCAAACTGTCGTCAACTCTGTTAGCTGCAAAATACAACTCAAGCCTTTCGATCCAGACGTTCCATTCCGTCGCATCTTCAAAATATGGCTCTATGCTACCTACAGGTCCTTTTGCTGCCATTTCTTCTTTAAGTTTTTTCTTTAGTTCCTGGATCTGCTTGTAGTCTTTTATTGCGTTCTCTGTTGATATTTTAGAGTCCCGAACGAGTTGCTTATATTCGGCTTTGTCCAATGAACAGCTCTCACACTTGCTCATCACTCCTTGTACGGATTTTAATCTTTACGTTTTACTCCTCGTCGCCATTGTAGTGTATATATAAGCCCGAGTTAAGGGTATAAATAAAAGTATAATACACGAGTCTATATAGATATATGAAATGTCTTTTATTTCTTACAGTACAAGAAGCGAAGAAGGTACAGCATGACTACTGGCTTAGTCCAATGCTGTACGTCGACTAACTACATAATTGATACTCACTACCGTGAGTCACGTATGCACGTTTGATCGCCCGCTTCTATGCACAGATGGCAGCATTGCCCTTACGCTATATTAATTTCTATTAATACTATATACAACACATATAACTTATTGAATTGTTAACTTTTGTTTGAATATTTTTTTTATTCTTTGAGGATTTGAATTTCTTATTTTTAGAAAAATTTTTTTCTGAATAATAATCATTTATTGTATTACATGTTTTATTAGTAGTTTTTCCATTATATTCGTTTTTTAGAGATGTATTATTGTTCAGAAATCGGTTTCAAATCCTTTTTCCATCAATACTTTTATCATTATTACGACAGATTTCTTTTTGTTTTCCGAATGACTCTCGTAAGCTAATATGTGCATAAAAATTTCAAATATTTATTTCTGTACATGGTAAGAAATACTGAAATAAATTAATTTTTACTTTTGCGGTTTTCAATATTCTTAAAAAAATGAGATAAAAGTAATACAGATTAATTTCAAGTAATTAAAGATTTACGGAAAAAACTTTCAAACTTTTACGCCAGAAGTTGGCGTGTGAAGCGCGCAGGGGAGAGGATCCCCACTAATGTATATATATATATATATATCAATTGACACATTATATAATGTGTGTTCTCGGTACCGTGGACCATGAGCCAAGAGGAGAGAGAAGGACTGAAGGCAAGCAGAAAAGTTGAGGGTGTGTGAGGTGTGGTTAAGGGTATGTGTATGCAAGAAATACATAGGAATAGTGATAGGCGAGAGGTGAGAGGAATATTATCAGGGATTATAGAAGTAAATTATTAGAGGTAAACCTTGTACCATAGGAGTACGAGTGGTTGTGTTGCTGAAGTTCGATGCATCACTGAGCTCCTACAGTATGGACGATGCCTGTCGCCTAACCCAAACTTTGAACGCACATAGTACAGCGCAGCATTGAACTGTAGAAGTTCGAAGAAGGGGGGGCTGTCTGAGCTCTGACGTTTGGACTCTCCGAACAGTAGCAGTAGCAGTGCAGTAGGGTTCTGAACTGTGATGGTACAAAATTTATCTCTGTGTGGAGTGAAATAAGGGATCGAAAGAGAGAGACTAGAAACAGAAGATCAGACCTTGAAGAAAAAGCTGTAGAATAGATGAAAAGAGGGTAGCCACAGAGTGATCTGTCGATAGCCAACCGTACAGCCAGATCACCGTGACAATCAGGACGAGCTCCAGGTGACACCAGGTGGCAGCGAGGATAGTGAAAAGGTAGGTGTATTGTATACTAGGTGATACACTGAAACAGTGTGTTGGGGACGATCCGAACGTGTGGAAGTGAATGTGTGGGGTTATTAAGGGATAAGGAAATTGAGTTGAGTACGAGGTGTGTTTGAGGTTACGTGTGTAAGTGTGCGTATAACTTAGGTACTGGCTGCCAACAGCCAAGCCAAGGAAGAGTTCAGCAGAGAGAACGACTGGGAGATATTCGTACGAAGACGTTGACCTTGATATTAGTGTGCCAGTATATGTATAGAGAGAGAATGTGTAGAATTTTAAGAGTGAGTGGAGGTCATTTATAGTGCTGGCGTGCTGTAAAGGTTATAAAAGTAAATGTGTTCATTCGTAATTAATGCCCCCATTTTCCCCTTTCTGATTTCTGTTTAGGAGTGTTTCGCGTTCCAGAGCCGGAAATCTGTGGCAGACCTCCTGGAGGAGAAGAATCCAGTGGTAGGGACTAGGTAAGTGACGTGCGTAAAAGAATTTTTGTGACAGGACCCAGACGGCTGTTTATCGGCTGAAAAATCTTCATCATACATCTTAGAGAATATAGTGTCAGCACGTTACATCACGGCCGTAGACCTTAAATTGGGATGTTTCCAGGCACACGCAGAGGAAAAAAAATGGCATTATCACATGAGAGCGTCAATGCGATGAGCCTGTGTGGCATGCCATGTGTTTTTACTTTAGCTGCTACAAGCTAAGCGCAGGCTGAATGTAGCTATGGTGTTGTCAGTGTCTATGCCGTAATGTCATCATGAGACATGAGCCTAGCGCCGAAAATTTATGGTTTTAAAGCAGAGAGTTGACACCTTTAACGCATTGACTATAGCTATGGGCAAAATGCAAAGCAGCAATGGAGCTTTGTCCGTTGCCGTCTTGCGTTTGCTTCTGTTACTTTCTGTTTTTACACTATATCAAGACTATCAACTGTAGTGTATATATACATACAAATTTGAACATACATGTATGTAGGTAATTATAAGCCGCACAGGCAACGAGTGCGTGCATGCTGCAGAGAGGACATGTTGTGTAAAAACAAAAAGGGGGAGAAGCAAACGCAAGACGGCAACAGATGAAACTCCATCGCCACTTTACTTTTTTCCCACAGTTATAGTCAATGCGTTAAAGATGTCCTCTCTCTGCTTTAAAACGATAAATTTTCGGCGCTAGGCTAATGTCTCATGATGACATTACGGCATAGACACTGGCGACACCATAGCTACATAGTAGCCTGGGCTTAGCTTGTAGCAGCTACCGTAAAAACACATGGCGTGCCGCACAGGCTCATCGCATTGACGCTCTCATGCGATAATGCACATTTTTTTTCTCTGCGTGTAGAAATACATGAAGGCAATGCATATAAGACAGCATTTTCGGGCCCAGATGGGCATTACCAATACAAAAGGATGCCAATGGGATGCAAGGATTCGCCAAACACATTTCTAAGGGCTATCGCACCAACACTCACAGGGTTACAAGGCCATAAAATAGAAGTGTATCTTGATGACATAATGGTCTTTGCCCCCGACCTTGAGAAACATTGAAGTCGATTCATGAAACTGTTAAAACAGCTATCAGTTGTGAATCTCTTGATTGAACCCAAAAATTGTCTGTTCAAATGCCTCATGGATGCACTGTGCACTGGACCTGTGCTCGTCGATCCATATTTGGAGAAACCCTTCATCGTGACGGCAGATGTATTGGACTATGCGCTGGGCGCAATCCTTTGTCAAGGTGAGATAGGAAACGACAGACCATGTGAATACGTGACACGTTGTTTAAAAGAGGGCGAGCTTCGTTATGCTACGTATGATAAGGAGCTGATAGCAATTGTATTTGCTAAGGAACAATTTAGATACTATTTATATGGACGCAAGTTTACAGTGATCACGGATCACGAATCGCTGAAACATTTCCACTCATTAATTTCCAGACATCTGCTTCAATAGGCTTAAAGCAGAACTTCGAGGCTATGAATTTAAGGTTATACATCGCTCGGGCATAACAAATAGGCCACCTGACGCTCTTTCATGGAATCCAATAATACATAAGGGCGAAATAAACCCAGAGTATCCTAGACAAGAGCTGTATGAACTAGACAATCAACAAGAAAACTTAAGAGAAGAAAACAGCGAGGGACCCCTGGCTGGAGTTTTTAAAGCTCGAGCAAAAAAAAAAAAAGAAAGAATCCAAGGAAAACCAAAAAAAGTGTGATTTGAATGTACAAACCCAAAAGCATCTAAGAACGACGAGAGAAGAGAAGAAAAACGACCAAGAGACAACCGCGGCAGTATGCATGATTACGTAGTCTCGGAGGGGGATGCTGATTCAGAACTAGAGGAGCCAGATAGGAAAGACTCACAGTGTTGGCAAATATCAAGAGACGAGAATGACAGAGTGGCACCAAACGTCACAAGGAGAGAAAAGCCCATTTTACAATACATTACAATTTTACAAAGGCCATTAGATGGAAAGTTGGGCTGTATAAAAAAAATTCAGGATTTAAAAAGGGGATAAAGACTACTAGTACACCCACAATACTAGAGAAATGAGTCAAATTATGGAAAGCACGTAAACGACAGCTTGATACCCTACGCAGAACGAGATCTAATTTTTTAGTCACACCACAAATAACTGAACGGTCAAAGAAGTAATAATAGCGTAATGTGACACACAACAGAAGGCAAACACAGGGACATATTCAGAAATTATCTACGAAAAACTAAAAACCGGTAGGGAAAGAAAAGGATACACTGAACAAAATACTGACCATTTAATAGAAATATGAACATAAAAGAGACCAGATACATATGATCTATTGGGAAGCAAATCCAATGAGCTTCAGGCCCAAGTGACGATTGATATTAAAAGACGTGACGTAGTAGGCAGGCCAGGAATGAGGATTGACGTATGAGAGCCTAACAAAACCAAGCCCGTAAAAGATGTGTCACCACAAATGAAAAAAGAAACGGATGACATCATGCACAGCCAAAACGAAGTTAACAAGTCAGATGAGTGTGAAAATCATGCAAAAAATGAACCCAGTGCACCATCAAAGCCTACCATGTTACTAAATAGATGGTTCGAGTGTCTAAGAGACAAAATACAAAGGAAAACTTGTGAATTCACACAACCTGGTAGTATCCTGGTGAATATATCAGAAGTACCGTCCGACCCACCCAGAAACTGTTTGTTCCAGAGCCTAATATTTCTATTTTGTCTGGATTTATCGACCAGTGAGCTGCGAGCAATGCTGAGCAATTTAAATTATTTATTAAAATGTAGAGAGCCAAATACGACAACAGCAATATTAGAATCGTAAACAGCATACGTAAATGATAATTGCATCTATCTATTTTCCCAAGAATTCAAGGAAAATATTTGTGTTCACCTGGCACTGACTAATGGGAGTTGTATTTAAGCACATTACACCACAACAAATGGTAGTGAGTTTTATCACTTACATCTAGAGGGCATTGGAGAAAACTCACACTATACTCCTCTTATCTAAGTCCCTGACACAGTGA